CTCATACTTCAAACATTTATGCTGGTCACTAGAATAAATAATTCACTTTTGCACTCAACACAGTTTTCTTTGGATAATACTTAATACAACTGCAGCTCAGATCACCCTTAATAGACTTTTTTTTTTAAGGGTCGTAAGCGACTAGTTGAATAGTCGACTGCATGATAAGCCTACTCAACTACTCACTTCCTCCCACCCCTTGCTGTCTCTGTATCAGTCTGTCATCCAGTCCCAATTTTTGGTCGTCAGAGATTTAGACCATCTTGACTAAGGGTACATCTACACAGCAACATTATTTTGTATCAAAGGCAGCAAAGGGGAAGGAGGAGGAGCCAGTGCTGAAGCCAGCTTCCCCTACCACTGTCTCTACAGTGAGGGGGAGTGCAGGCAGAGGTGCAGCGGTCTGGGACCTGGCCCCTCTGCTTTTAAAATGTAGTAAAAGCCGACTGGCTCATACTACATTTTAAAGGCAGAGCCACAGCAGGGAACCCTGGCTCTTACTATTACTCAGCAGTCCCAGCTTGTGCCATGTCCCCTGCTGCAACTCTGCCTTTTAAATATAGCATTAGCTCCCACTCCCTCCTTGCTGCCTCTGATACAGAGGTGGAGGGGAAGCCCCTTATCAACTAATCATGTACTCAATACAAATTGTATTGAGTACATGATTAGTTGATAATTACTCACTTCTTAACATCTTTACTTATTTTTACTATCTTATTTTAGTTGAATGTAGTCCAAGGTTATGCACACAATACAAGTCCTCTAACTTTTTTGATGACAATGACAAGCAGATACAAATTAATGCAAAAGTGTTTGACAGGAGGAAATTAAAAAGTAAAACAAAATCAACTTATAAGGCAGTTATTAATGAACTAAGAAGGGATTTTAGAATCTATACCTTTGTCACTTGACATTCCAGAGATCAAACAAAGCATTTGAACATATATATTAACTAATATCCCTTATAACCAAATCATTTAGTAGTACATATTACCATCTGTTCATGAAAATCTTTTGCCTGGCTTCATTCCTTGAGACACCCTTCAGAGATGATGTAGGTAAACTAAGTGTATGGTTTGATTTCTGAGCATGAACGTTCTCTATGGTCCTCCTGTCTGCTGTTTAGTTTTTACTTGCATTAATATGTTACTATTTTTCTAATGAGTATCAAGCTTTGACTGAGGTTCAAGTACACTGAGAACCTGTTCTGGCTTTTTAATCTTGTGAATGGAAGAAATTAGTCATACAGCACTTTATACAGGGACCCTCATGGCAGACATTTGAGCCCTGTTCAGCACATATTGGAATAGTATAGAGGCTGTGCTTGACACCTTTTAACAGTAGCACACACAGCCCTATATTAATTCTAACTAATTTTCTAAAACTCATCAAAGGCTCCTATGATTTCATTATAAACTGAAGTCCATGTGGTAGGCAGGGCTCCCCAGGAAGTTCTAGGGAGTCTCTGAACCTAGTGTGAAAGCTGAAGGGCCTGGATACTCTGCATTCTTTGCATGGGCCAGCCACTGGTAGTGACCTATAGGTACTGTAGAACCATTCTGAAGAACTTTCTGGGTTCTGAAGTGCTGTACTTCACTGGACTTAAGTCTCAGAGCTTGACAGTTAGTAGCAGGACTTGGGAGCAGAGGGCCTAGAAGACTGGTGTTCCTAGCCAATCCCAGTATGAGTAACAACAGAATGATGATAAATGGAGGTCCTCTTCCATATTGGCAATCCCTCCCAAATTTCTGTTATCTGCAAATTTTAGTAGCCTCGTACTCACTTTTTCTGTCAAGGTCAGTAATAAAAATGTTGAATACAACTGGTTCAAAGACATCTCTCCAGCCTGATACTTCACCTTTCTGTAAGACATGCTGTAGTTTCCCCTTTAACCATTTCCAACATTCAACATTCAGATTATATATTTATTTCTATTTATTCATATGCTAACCATCTACATTACAGAATTTCCCTGGCAGCTGTGGAAGATCTTGGAGTGGGGAAATCTTTCGATTCATTCTGGCCTGGTCAGGGCAGGGGACAAGGCACATTGTCAAAATTCCCTACAAGCTGATAGATCTCATTTTTATTTTTTAAGTCACTGATGCCATAAGATAGGTTAGAGTGAGGTCTAGCTCCAGGCAATGCTAATTTCTGCTAATGTCTCTCAGTGTTATGTGTCCCACTAGTAGAATATCTACCTGGAGGGATAGAAATGTAGCCGTGTTAGTCTGGGGTAGTTGAAGCAAAATGCAGGACAATGTAGCACTTTGAGGGATGAAGTCACAATGGACCAAGGTGCCTAAAACCCCAATCCATCATGGGGGATTGCCCATTTAAGGAATCCTGAAAGATGGATGGTTTTGGCTGGGGGGAAGCGTGTAGCTTGTGAACTTGAAGAATGCTCCCTTTCAATACCTCCTACAGGCAGCTTCTACTGGTAAGGCTCCTATTGAGCCTTGAATGTTAGTTATAACTGTTGCCCCCGACAGATCCCCTGAAGAGAGTGGGCTGTGCCCAGGGGATGAGTCACACCTATCATCTCCTTTCCCAATTTAAAAATGTACCATACCAATGCAACTTGACATTTATGCAAAGTGATATCTTTAAATGTGTTATATTAGGAGCATAACACCACTCTGGAATCTGTATAGCAAGGGAATGAGTTCTGATACAAAATGCTGCCACATAATTTCAGAGTGCAGATCTGCCAGAAATTCCTTTCGTCCCAGTATTGTACAAATACCAAATGAGCTCCCTCCCTTTTTACTGCAGCATAAATGCTACATACTGGCTGCTGTTGAAAAGACCGATGTCATGGGCATATCTTGGCAGCCTGAAAGAAATATTTGTCACTCTGCTCATAAATAGGTACCAAACTCAAAATAAAAAGATATAGGAGCAAGTAGGATAAATGTGTTAGTTTGTTTTCTGTTCAGTACTAGAAATTTTCCTTCATAATAGATACAAGTCTTCAGTTTGAAAATTAAAGGCTTGTATAGTTATAAATACTAGTTGGAGATAAAACCTCCTTAGCAGTTTACGGAAATCTGATTTATAGCTGAGACATGTTTCATGTAAAACACTTGCATTTATAGTTTAAATACTAATGACACTGGCAAGCAGTAAGTCATTTATGGAATGAATACACCGTTTAAAATATAGCACAGCAAGATTTGGCCAAAGTGAAAGAGTCTTGAATGACACACATACCCCAAAAGCCCCTCAAAACAGAACCCAAACCTGCAATACTTACGGAGTAAAAACTCCCACTTGACTTCAGCGGGAACTTGCCTAAGTATTAAATTAAATAGGACCTAAGGGTAATTTTCTCCTCAAAAGGAAGAAAAATTCAGAGTGGATCTTTTTAGAAAGAACTATTTCCCCAGAATTTCCCATGTTAACACACATCAAAAACCTGAAGTTAATACTAGACTGACAGAAAGCCATAACTAACAAAGATGCACATGACAGCAGTTAAAAAGTAGTTAGCTAATGAAAAACTTTTGTTTTCTTCTATTTAATAATGTAGCCTCCTTTTCTGACTCACCGTAATTTCCTGCTCATAGGTCCAAACTCCACAGGCCAATTCAACACAGAATATCACAAGCAAACTTCCAAAATACTGTAGAACACAGAAACATCTTAGTTATATTGTTACACTGAAGTTACCATTGTGAAAAAACTATTAAGTATTTTAAAAACATTTCAAACACCATTAATTTTTCATACAACGAAGACAGTAAAAACCAAAACATTAAGGCATGAAGATTAAACCCTGAAGTTTACCTTTGGCTTATAAACATGTTTATATAATGTGACATGATGAAATAAATGTGGTTTATTTCTAACTTACTTAATATGAAATATGTTGAGCGTTGTTATGATGATATGAATTAATTTCCAAGTTATCTCATGGAACTGAGTTGTTATGACATTTTACACACAAACAGTTCCAAAGAGGCTATTTCCCTTCCCCCCTCCCCAAACACACTCCCCAAAATTCAGCATTTTCCACTGTTCCTTATTTATAACAACTACAGGAGCTGAAACCAACTAATGCTAATAATATGAACACAACAGATGCTGCAAACATTTTGAAGACTTTTCCCAAACAGGAAATTCTATAGTTAATAAAATATTTAAGAGAAACTGTGTGCAATATCAAATAAACCAGTTTGAACTTGTGGGATGCATTAGCATAGAAGGAAAAACTCATGTAATTGCTGTAATTCCAGAAGTTAGTTCAGTTTGTTTTTATTTGAAATATACCTTTCATCCAACCTTGTGTGGTACCACCCTCTTTCATATAGATGACCTGAATCCCTTCCTGTCCTAAACAGAGCATAGGCTCCATTTCCAAACGCACACTTTGCTAGGAGTTGGCTAGTTAGTTGTCAAAAACAATTAACACAAGAGAAACCTTCCACTACATTTCCCCCCAGAGCTTGAGTGTTCTTAAGACTTCCTTCCCTTTCTACCCTCCTAGCTCCCTGTCTAGATCTCTGTCTCTCAAGGGCCATTCTCACCTGCCTGTTTTCAAGGGCAGAGTTAAAAATTCATTGCTTTGTGACACAATGATGTAGAAAACCATGCCCACATCACACCAATTCCTCCTCCTCTTTCCATTAGGTCTACTCATTCTATTTCCTTCTCAGAAGGATAGTGATCTGATATAAGGGTTGTCTACATGCAGAGCTGTTCTTAATTAATGGTTCCTGATTAACTCCATCTCTGGACACCCTTACAGAAAATAAGGAGTGGAAGGGACCACCTGGGTCATCGAGTCCCAACCCCTGCTAACACAGGCAACTTTGTTATATAATTTGTTTGTAAATCACCATGCTCCATCTTAAAACTATTTTTTTCTTTTATCCCTACCATTCTGGAACTATTGCAAGGCTGTTCCAGAATCTCATTCTTCTAATTTCCAACCTAAATTTATTCATACCTTTTTGTTGTTCTTTACACTGTAACTTAAATTGCTCTTCTCCCTCCCTTCTGTTTACCCCCCAATGTATTTATAGAGAGAAATCCTATCCCTTCTTAGCCTTCATTTTCCTAGGCTAAACATGCCAAGCTTTTTCCAGAATAAGAATGCTTTGACTATCCACTTTGAAAGCAGGTTAAACTAAACAGAAACATGACACACTCCTGTTCTGGCATAAGTGAGTCTGCACCTAGTGTTTATCAGCAACAACAATGTAGCGGAGCTCTAAAAAACAGAATAAAAATACCACGGAATTAATAAGACATATGCCAAATGCCACCACACCATCATCTCACTTTTCTTATGTCCCAATCCCTGCTTGTTTTCATATCTGATCTGCTTGGATTGTAAACACACTTTGCAGGGAACCATTTCTCCTTACCTTCTCTGCACAGTGTTAAAAACTTCAGCTGAGAGACATGTTCTCTCGTGTGCAGACATAAAGCCAAGGAAATAAATAAAATTTAAAAAGATGAGACGTTCATACAGTGTATAGTTGGTTATCAAGTTGTCTCACAACTAGTAGGAAAGTAGGGGAAGAAAAGTGGGTGCTCAAACAGGGGTGTTGGATTTTACACTCGTGATCATGATTTAGGAGAGGTGTTGGAGAGGATTTGCAACCTACATGCCAAAATTCCAGTAAATAAAGTATCAGAAGCCAGAAGCTAGAACTGATACATTGGGATCAAGATTAACTGCAGGCACTCCATGTTTTTCAGAATCAATTCTTTTGACTCTCTCTTAAGAAGTCCATCCTCAAAGTGAGAGAAAAGGAGACATAGGCAGACTCAATTCAAAAAAACTACCGGTACTACAATCATTATTGCAATGATGTTAAAGAATATGTATAACCACAGATCTGCTTCAATTTTTTTCCACCTGTTTTGGGGAAATCTTATAAACCTCCCTGCATTCAACTTTGAGCTCTGAAACAAAAAATTCTTACAAAAGTTGTGTAAAAAACTCAACAATTATTTCAATTTATTTCCCCTAATCTTCATTTTCCAAGCCACATAGATCATAGCTGGCTGTAATTCCTACTCCTCCACTCCCAGATAAATTCCCAGTAGAGTGTGAATTTCAAAATAAATACAGCTTCTCACAACAGCAAACTCTTGCTTTTGTCAGTTATACAAATTCGGTTTCCACAGCAAAGGTTTAATTAATTCTTCCCTCCTATTGTGGGTTGAGTGGCTGGGTTCTGGGGGAAAAAACCCTCTTATTCCCCTGATGGAAAAGATCATGCTCTCTCTGCCACTCTCAAACCTTCGTGACAATTGCTTGCATATAGCATTACCACAATTCTAGTTCTGGCATTGTTCTCTATAATATTTGATTCCTTTCAAGGTTTTTCCTGCTATTCTGCAAAGAATGTCCTCTATATCGATAATCAATAATGTAAAAAATCCTATACGCAAAAAATCAGAAGCCTCTGAACTAGCAGATCTTCAAAACTCTGACACCTCTCTATGTGGTTGATAAATAGTTTTCTATTAGAGCTGTGTGAAATTGTCATAAAGTTCAAATGATTCATAAACTTGAATATGACCCAAAAGTTGTATTTATAAGGTTTCCGTCATCAGGCTGGGAAAATAAGCTCTCTTTCCCAGAGAGAGGCGCAGAATTACTAAAATTCTAGAAGAAAGTATTTTGTTTAAGGTAATATGCCATTAAGACAGAGATACAATGTATGCTGCTGTGCCATGTATCTGAGTGCCTAAACCTCAGCCCCCACATACAGCCCCATGTAAACGCTAACAAGCAGAAGTACTTTGGTTTTCTGTTATTCTTGTCCTGAGCTGTTAATGCATACAGGCCATAAGCAGATGCAGCAGCTAAGCAGAGAAGTTGCCTCTGAACAGAAGGCAGCCCTTACAATACCTGGACCCAGCACATGCAGCTGAGCAATCTGTGCAGCAATGGATGTGTGCATTCCTCCTATGCACCCAAAATACACAACTGCAGTGAAAGGGGTCTGTGGAGCTTTAAAGAAATCCCACCTTTCCTCTGCAGCCCTGGGAAGGGAAAGAACTGACGACTCTAAGAGTTTTGAAGATCCCTCTTTCTACTCTATTTCAGTGCACAAAACAAGTCTGGGTGAGGGGAAGAAATAAAAAAGAGCACTGCATCTGAGGGGACAGTCATGATTGGGAGCTCTAGGCTATCGGAGAAGGGGAGAGATACAAAGAGAGAAGATGTTAGGAAATATCTTCTGGATGCAGTGAAGCAACAGAAATTTCCTGCACTACCCTGCTGAGAATAAGCCCCAAGGTGGGGGTGTCTCCTGCAGATTTAAAAATCAGCATAGCACACTCTTACACACTTTCTAAACCCAAGATTGTGGGGAGGAAGGTGTGCCAGGGAAGAGGTCATAGCACAATGCACTACATCTATCCCAAGTGTTTAGAAGACCATACTTAGCTGGTGCAAGTATGCCCTCAAGCTAAACCCCTACATTTGCCCAAGGCCAAAGCACGGAATTAAAGAGCATTAAGCAAAAACTCAGCTCAGCTGAGAAACTGTCTGGTATAATATATAAGGCCAGACAAAATATGGACTGAAGATATGACAATGAAGTTTGCTTATAGAGGAGAAAAAGGGAATAAATAATAGACAAAGAAAAAATAAGCAAAGCATGAAAGGAGGTAATGCACGTACTTTGTTTGTGCTAATTCAGATGTCCTACATTTTGTTTTTATGCTGTAAGGCTAGCGGAGTATCCAGGAGATTAGGAATCAGTGTAAATATCTCAAACTTTCACTGTGCACACATAGTGACCATTGAAATTAATTGAAAACTATTGCTAGGAAGTACCTCGCAATATAAAATCATTCTCCCACTGCTTTTGGTCCCACAGAGATAGCATTTTTTTCATGCTGTAATTGAGCACAAAAGCAGAAGAGGATATAAAGTACTGATACAAATAAGAAACAATAAAAATGTTTTATTCAGAAGAGGCATTCTAGAAAATATCCTTTATATTTCTACAGATTTCTACATGTCTTGGACATTCTCCATGATGCTTGTGTAACTCTTCTGCAGGGTAGGCCTGGCAGTAACCAGGACTGGGTTCAATATCTTGGGGTCCATCTCACACAGAACTGGCTCAAGCCTTCACCCAGTAATCTGGGAAATTCACACATCCCTGGGTGCCTCTGAGAGGCAATGCTTCCCCACTCACAAGCACTAAGTCTGAGTGTAGGAAAGAAACATTTAATGAAAGAGAGAGAGAAGTCATATGGCATTAACTTGGGGGAAACACCACAAACAGAGTTCATAACCCAAACATGAGCTAAGCCCCTCTCCCCCCAGCTAAGAATCACCTGAAGTCCAAAGAGTCCGACACCACAAAAGTCTCTGTCCCTGGTCTGTGCCACCCAGAGTCCCAAAGTTCACCCACAGGGTTTCACCTCCCAACCTGGGTAGATATGGGGGTACGGGGATAGATGAGGGCCCCTTATGACACTCCCCCACGCTTCACCAGCTGTCTCGTCCCAAGATCTCACCAAACTGAGCGATTGGGCAACAAAATGGCAAATGAAATGTAATGTGGATAAATGTAAAGTAATGCACATCGGGAAAAATAACCCCAACTATACGTATAGTATGATGGGGGCTAATTTGGCTACGACAAA